GGTTGAAACCTCTGGCAACAACCCTGGATTTATACTTGACTCCTTCTGCTGGTGATATCCCTTCCTTCTTCTTGAAAACCCATTTGCAAGTAATAATCTTTCTCCCCGAAGGCTGTATGACCAGATCCCATGTCTGATTCTTGTGTAGGGACTCCATCTCATCTCCCATAGCAGCAAACCATTTTTCAGAATCAGGACTTAAAATGGCTTCTTTGTAAGTAGACGGCTCAGATGTATCTACCTCTTCAGCAACCTGTAGTGCATAACCCACCATGTCCTCAAAACCATACCTCGTAGGTGGACGAACTGCAACCCTCCTTGGCCGATCTTGAGCTATACTCCGATGGATATCTGATGGCATAGATTCTGGAATATCAGTTTCTGTCTGTGGCTCTTGATCCTCCTCTTCAGGTTCTTTCAAATCGCTCTTGTTCTGAATGACTTGAAACTCCACCTGTTTATCAAGACTCCCAGTTTCTGACGTAGTTGTAGGCTTCACAACGGTTCTAAGCAGAGAACATTCATCAAAGACAACGTTCCTGCTCATAATAACCCTCTTTTCTGCTGGAGACCAGATTTTGAAACCTTTCACTCCATCTCCGTAGCCCACAAATACTCTCTTTTTAGCTCTTGGTTCTAACTTACCTTCACTGATGTGGTAGTAAGCCGTACAACCAAAAGCTTCCAGATTTGAATAATCAGCAGCTTTTCCTGACCACATCTCCATAGGTGTCTTGCACTGTTTGCCTGTATGTGGTCCGCGGTTAATCAAGTAGCAAGCTGTACTAACCGCTTCTGCCCAGAATCTTCTATCTAGCCCAGCATTAGAGAGCATGCACCTTGCTCTCTCCAGAAGTGTTTGATTCATCCGCTCAGCTACACCATTCTGCTGTGGTGTATTTCTGACTGTACGATGTCGAGCAATTCCTTCATCCTTACAGAATTGATCAAATTCAGACCAGCAGAATTCCAGCCCATTATCAGTTCGCAACCTCTTGATCTTCTTCCCTGTTTGATTTTCCATCAAAATTTTCCACTCCTTGCACTTCTGGAAAGCTTCACTTTTATGCTTCATCATGTACACCCAAGTCATACTTGAGTAGTCATCAGTAATGGACACAAAAAATCTGCAGCCTCCCAAAGACTCAACACGGCATGGACCCCAGCAATCAGAATGGATATAATCAAGTGTGCCTTTTGTTTTGTGAATGGCCTTTGGAAACTTGTTGCGATGTAGTTTTCCAAAAACACAATGTTCACAAAACTCTAGGCTCTTAACCTTATGACCAGCAAGAAGATCCTTCTTTGACAGAATTTGCATCCCTCTTTCACCCATATGACCAAGTCTCATGTGCCATAACTTAGTCATATCCTCCTGGTGAACTTCTGACGATGCAACATGGGCTGAACCTGTAACCATGGAACCTTGTAGAAAATAAAAGTACCACACATGACACCTTTCAGAATCAGATTTGAACCCTTCCAGACCCGCAAGACTCCATCTTTTCCCGACCAGCTGAATCCCTTGCTGTCCAAAAGACTGAGAGATATCAGATTTTTCTTCATCAATAGAACGTGCCTGACCTCATTCAATGTGCAGAAGCTACCGTCATGTGTCCTTATCTTTATCGAGCCTGTCCCAACCACCTTGCAGACAGAACTATTGGCCATCGAGATGTTGCCTTCGTCTACCTGCTCATAAGTCGTGAACCACTCTCTCCTAGGACAGATGTGATAGGATGCCCCAGAATCGAGAACCCACACATCTGAATGATGAGTATGCTCATCCGCAACTAGGGCAATATCTTCTTCAGAATTGGTGTCTTCTTCAGCAACAGCAGCAAAAACTGATTATTTTTCCGATTGCTTCTTCTTCTTTGGACAATCAAATTTCCAATGTACCTTCTCCTTGCAGTAATTACGAACATCATCCGGCTTTGCACCCTTCGACATCGGCTTCTTTTTCTTTTCGCTGTTTTTCCTTCCCTTTCCGCTACTGGTGAACAGACCGGAAGGATGTATGTCCGTACTTGTGCCGTTAGCCTTATGTCGTAATTCCCTTCTATGAAGGGCCGATCTGACTTCTTTCAGCGACACAGTATCTTTCCCAACAATGAACGATTGAACAAAATTCTCAAACGACATTGGGAGAGATACTAACAGAATCAGGGCAGCATCTTCATCCTCAATCTTCACATCGATATTACGCAATTCTAATAATAAAGTATTCAATTGCTCTAAATGTTCCCTGAGTTGTGTACCTTCAGCCATTCGTAAACCGAATAGACGTTGTTTTAGAAGCAGCTTGTTGGTTAGAGATTTTGTCATGTACAAACACTCCAGCTTCAACCACAGACCAGCAGCAGTCTCTTCATCCGAGACCTCCGTGATGACATCATCCGCGAGACACAGCACGATCGTCGAGTGCGCCTTTTCCTCCAGAATCTCCATCTCAGGAGTAACGACGGCGTTCTTGTCTTTCGACAACGGCGCCCAGAAGCCTTGTTGTTTCAACAAAGCCCGCATCTTGATCTGCCATAAACTGAAACTGTTCCTCCTTGTGAATTTGTTGATTTTCACGTTCAAAGCAGACATCTCGAATTCTCCAAGAACACCGATTAACCGAGAGGCTCTGATACCAATTTGTTATGCGGAATTTGATATAATACGAGAAAATATAAACGCGAAAAACAAAACAACAGATTTATGTGGTTCACCAATAAATTGGCTACGTCCACGGGAAGAGGGGGAGCTGTTTTATTATGAAGAGGCAAAAACAGAATTACAGAATAGGATTTGTCATAGCGTCTATATATAGTGCTAACGAGTCCGATTCAAGGGATTCAACAGTAGATATGAGAATGTTTAAATAAGTGTGATTAGATAGTCTAGATATTAGAATATTTCGTAATCCATTTAATTAGGCTGTTGGAAAATTATGTAATACTTTATTAGTTTTTTTCCTATTTACTTTATTTGATATAGCTATTTAATTCCATCTATTTTTATTGAATGACCAATCAATTCAATTCCCAATATCTTTTTTGTTTGTAATCTCTCATGGATAAATTAGTTATGTTACAATTGAGGTGCAAAAGTTCTTACGCACATAGTGAAAGAATAATATTTCGATTGAAGACTATTATTGATCAGAAGCTATGCAACATATAGATTTAAATGCAAGAAGAATTTCTTGAGGAATTGTGTTTACGAGTTGAATGTGTTTGTAAGATTGACATTTTCAAAATGAAAATAAAGTTATAGTTTTAACAAAGAAAAGAGTTAAAATTAAGAGAAATCATGTGGAGGTAGACACAAATAACAAATCATATCCAAATAGGATTGGATTCCTTCATCAAATTTCATTATTTCAATAAATTTAGAAGAACAAACCAAGATGATTACTCCTATATACGATACTAAAAACAATGCAAAATGCGACGGTCAAAAAATCGACAGGCATGTCATCTATCTCTAAACATGTCGATTTTTGAATTGCAAAATTGTAGTCGAAGAGTATAAATAAAACCAATGAAAATATTTCATTAAAGAGCATGTGTGGTTGAATGATAGAATTGTTGAAAGTCATAAAATATACCTGGATTCGATTAGAAGTGGAAAATCCACAAAAAGGGGCGATTGTCCCTTAATTTTAATCGATCATGTCAGTCGGTTTAACAAAAGCGGCGATGGTAAAAGCAATGACATACAATTCCGCGGTTTGGCATTGAATTTCTTTTAAAAATTGACCCAATCTGCCGATTTTAGCCCTCGATTTTGAACTCTTTTTAGTAGTGATAAAGCACCATATTGATGCTACTATCTTGGATACTAAAATTGTTGGGTTCCAAAGTAGGGTGTCATGCAAAAGTTTACAATTACAAAATCATAGACATAACAAATCATATAACAAAAATTTATACTTAAAAATATAACATTATTATATAAATTATAGACAAAAAATCTGTCATAAACAAAAGTCTCTAAACAAATATATTATGGATGTTCTTGTGTTATGTTATTAGAATAAAGATCTTGAGTTTAGAGATCTACAATTTTTTCTTATAAGGAAAGAATAAACAAAATATAGAATAAAATAATATTTTCCTCTCAAGAAAAATTAAAACATTTATGATAATACTTTGTTTTTCATCATAGGAAAAAAAATAAATTTCAAATAAGGTAAAAAATAGGGCAAAACTCTAACAATAATTTCAGTTTGAGATTTATTCTTGGCAAATATTAGTTATAGTGTTAACTTGTTTGTAAAATACAAACTTATGATGCATACTCATTGTTATAAAATAGTATTCTCTGTCTCAATTTATTTGACCATTTTCCTTTAGGTGCCATGTAGGCCGAATGCATAAGTAGGCACCATAAACTTGTAAAAAATTGAAAAAGTAGACACAACTCCTACATAATATAATACATGTAGGACACAAATTTTCATGTAGGATGTCATGTAGGATGGATGTGTCTATCTGTTCAAATTTATGCAAATTCAAGTGCCTACTTGTGCACATCTAAAGTTAAAGGTCATAGTTATCAACTGAAGCCAAGTTAAAGATCATGCTTATGTATTATGTCTTTTCCTTTTTAGTATGTCTAAAAAAAGAACACATAATACATAAATATGACTCTTAACTTGGTGTCAACGAATAACTACACCCTCCAACTTTGAATGCACACAAGTAGATATTTAAACTATTATAAAATTAAACAAGAAAACACAAGTGTCCTACATGACATAATACACACAGGATGTCATGTAGGATACAAAATTGTCATGTATGATGAATGTGTCTATTTGCTCAATTTTATACAGTTTAAGTGTCTACTTATGTACACTCAAAGTTAAAGATCATAGTTATGTCAATTGACGTCAAGTTAAGGGTCATGTATAATGTATTATTGTCTTTCTTATTTGACAAATATTCAATGACACAATCAACATTTTACCCCATGTTCGGTCCATTTATTTGGCAAAAAGTCGAAAAGTGTATAAAGGTGTAGATTTTTTCGAACATTGCAAAATTTTCTCATATTTCATAAACTTCGAGTCCAATCAAACTACATCACATAAACTGGAAAGCATAAGAGCATCCAAGCACAAGGGAAGCCAAGATTGCTCACTCAGTGCCACAAGTATCCAACTGTAATAAGACTTGGGAAAAATTAAGGTGACCATTTTGGCCACAAATCCCTGTTGTTGTTCGGTCCTTCAAATGCCTTATTTAAAAAATTGCTAAAGCCAATTCAATGAGATGAATATAGCTCGAGTTCAATAGAAATCGCCTATTAAACGAGAAGGAAAATGTGAAAGAAAACGATCTAAGTGCTAATAATGTCAAAGCTTATTAGATGGCACTGAATATGGATTTCATTGAAGTCAGAAAACCTCAACAGATCATACGTTGAGGTTTTCTGACTTCAGAATTCACAGGAAAGGCAGAGTCCTTTTGCAACTGTATCATCTGACTGTGCGATCCTTCAAGAACGAAAAACAGAATAAGCAAACACAGCAACATAAATGTGAACTATAATGAGAGTACATGTTTGTTATAATTACCTATGAGGAAGCAACAGTCTAGTAGAAATACCATATAGGCCATTGTAAATCATGACAACCTCTTCTTGTTCAGAGTGTTCATTAAAGGCCTGCTTTATACAGATAGACAAAGAAGTTAACGTCAAGCAGAACAGTGACATAAATCATCATTCAGCACAGTTGGAAATATTTCAAATGGTAAACAAGTTAATGTGATGCAGCACCACAGTCATTATAGAAAGAGAATTCTAAATATTTCATCAATCATCAGTTTGCATTACTCCCCTTCAGCGTAGTTTAAAGTACAAAAAAGTGACATGCCATAGCATAAGTTAAGACACGATTATATAAGGGATCGCAAGAGTTTGCTTATTTAAACTAGCCTAGAATGTGCCTGGGCTGATAATTAGAGTCGAGCAAAGATTATTAACGACAGTGACAAAAAAGTGTTTCAGTTAGACGTCAACATTTTTTTTTCCATTATGTTGAATATAGTTAGATATGACTTCCAAGCAACTAGAAGGTCTTCTCAGGCCACCTACCTTAACAGTTTACAGGTCAATCAGAAAGTTAGTTAAGCTCATTGAGTCTAATTGTCATCATAGCTAAGCGAAATAGACATGTAGAAACAACATCATAAGTTATTTGATCATTTTGACGCGTGTTGTTGTAAGGTACCTTAAATACATTGGTAAGTGTTGACAAAGTAGAAGGGAGACCAAAATCAGCCGTCTTATCTCAGAAATCTCTTGTTTCAGATGGATCATAATCATAAGCTTCACCAGCCTTAACAAATCTACCTTTAACTCGTCTTCTGGTATCTGCCCTAGCCTTACGTGAAGCATATCTTATTTGCTTACCAAACCTTCATGTGACAAAGCATAATATCAATAAAGGGGAAAAAGTTGCTATTTAATTACTTAACGAATCTACGTAGTACTGAAAATGTTAGATTAGATAAATGGTACCAGCAATTTGGTATCAAAATTTTTGGTAAAATAGTACCTAGGGAATAAAGAGAATCTATGAGACGTTTACTCGAGGAAAAAATGAAGAAAGATAAATGACATTAATAGGGATTCTAAATGCAAGAGTTGCAAAAGATGAAAGTAAGAAAGCTCCCCCTATTTGAACATAGGTACTTCTCAAAAAAATGTTGCAATTATGTAAAGATATGAAAACTACGCCAAACTCAACCCCAAAAGTTAAGTCATGAGGGGGGAATCGTTCAAGTCCATATAAGCAGATCACCAGTCCATTCCCCAACCAATGTAGGACTTTAACTCACGGTAACAAATTTTAGTGATGCAATCGAATGAATATGACAGAAGCAATATACAAGCTATGAGAGATCAAATGTAGGATGAATATGGATTAACTTACGTTCTAGTCTTCTTTTTCTCGTTATATCTCATCTTAGCTTCATGTCTTTTCTGTGGACAATTTTCTAAACTCAAATCCCATGGGGCTTCATTCAGAAACCCTGGTGACAATCCACAATCTTGTTCTGCACAACTTTCTCCGGTGATGTTGGAGAGTGATAATGACATACTTGGATGAATTGGTGCAGGTAGAAAGGGTAAGGCGCCAATGCTACCGTTGCAAGTGGAATTCATAAGCATGCAATTAGCATTGGCACTCATTGTCTGCAATAGATTCGTTGAACTCGCAGCTGCAGAGATTTGTGAGGACTGCAACCCCATATACTCTTGCTGCACTGAAGATGTTGCCTAACAAAAAGTACAAATGGAATAACTAAAGCTACTCCAAAAAAAAAAAACACAAAAAGGCACACTTATAGTAAGTAACAGACATCTGCAAATTAAAACAAGCCACCAAAACAAAAAACTGTTAACAAGTTGCCTTAGTTGTGTCAACAGTAGAATATGGTTTGTAATGCATTTGGTAGACTTTCTTTAAAACTCGATTTATGGGGAACGTAAGAGAGTAAGTTAAGAAAGAAGTAACACAAACCTCGTGAGATGTTTCCACGTTATTAGATCCTGTGACGGATGAATTTTTCTCCATGACTAGGCAATCTAATTCCTTGTTTTCATCAGAGAATCCAGTCTGTCGTGAATCAGGCAAAATCTCATAACTACAGTTGAAATCCAATGTCACGTCATCAAAATCAACACCTTTTGAGAGATCATCACCTTCCTGTAATCCAAGATCCTTAATCGGACAATCTTGCTGCATTTGAAGTAAACAAACAAAAGTACTATTAGTGCATACAACAAATTCAACACCAAAGACTCACTGAGTCTAAATCCTGAATTCACCTCCAAATTAATAGAATATTTCTTATAATAGTTCACACATGTGACGGATATCAAAACAATTCAAACAAATAAACAAAAAGGAAATAAGGAGAAAATCAAAAGAGTAAGATATAACCTTAGAAAGGCCAGATCCCTCTGAGAAGGGTGCCAGATCTATTTGATAGGAATTCAGGTAATTTGGTTCAGGAGGAATTGACCATGCTTCAAACTTATAATTAGAAGCTAATAGCTTACTAGATACAAATGAATCTTCATTCACTTTATTCTCCAAACTGCTATTATTCTCATTAATACTCAATGAGCTACCTAAAGAATTACCAAAGCTTCCAAAATTAGTGTCAGTACCAATAGGCATTTCAAGAACTTGTGACAACATCTTTGTAAACTCATCAGGAGAGGGACATCCAGTGTAAGGATTCAACTTCTTGAGTCGATGCCCTGTCCCAATGCAGCCATTTCCATCCCAATCACAGCGTTCACATAAGCTTATTGCCTCATCCATGCATCTCACAATTGATGGCTGCGAATTGCATTTGTCACATATGAAAGAACGTGAATGCCTTCGTGATATTAGATTTGGTGAGTGCACATAATCATCACATTGCAAGCAAAGCCTCGCTGAATCTGATTTACAATACACCACTGCCCTCACTTCACCACATAAATCACATAGAGGATCCATTTAACTTTTTTCTTTTAAATGTTTAACAAACCAAATCTTAGTGATTCGAAAGAGAATTCATACCGCCTTAAACGACAGAAAATAAATAGATTGATGATCAAATTCTCATACTTGGTATTAGAATTTGATCATAAAGATTTTAGGAGAATCAACAACTCCAAGTTTCACAATGTATGAAAATGATGAACTAAACATAAAAAATGGATCAACAACTCAAGTGTCACAATATATGAAATAATGAACTAAATATGAAAAATGGAAAGGGGAAAAGAATCTACAATGTAAAAGTATAGTTTTTTGTTGATTAATAATTGAACTTATGCCACCTTTAGAGAAGTTTTTGAGTGAAAATTATATTGTATTTATAGAAGTATGCCTGCACGTGGAATTATATTTCTTGCATAACGGATTTTGATTGAAGCCCTTGAGACTCGCTCTCTATAAACTCAATTTATGCTAAAAATACAAAATTAAAAAAAAATACAATTTACAGATCATATTTTTTTTGGTTATGGGAGATTCGAGAAAAGATGAAATAACAACGCGTTTGTTAGTGTGTATAAGAATATCATATATTAATAATGTTATTCAAAGATTATTTCTTATGTGTTGTTTAACTTTGACGTATTAAAAATAATAAATATTGTATAATTTCTAGAAAGATTATTTATTTAAAAATATATAAATATGATCGAAAGGATGAAGAAAATGTTTTGAGAATAAGATGTGTATTTAATTATGATAATTTATACATAAACCTCTTGCATTTCTAATACCATGAATTTTCAAGTATTAGTTATACTTAATTATGTGTCTTAGTACCAAATAAAGTGCAAACATTGGTTAAAAAAGTGTATCAAATTAGGTAGAAATAATACAAAAAGTTAATACATACCTTATTTTTTTTTAATGCACTCTACCGAACAATCGTATTTCTAGGATGGAGCATTAAAAATGTTCTTTTTAAGTGTCGTTCACATAAAATAAATATCCCAAAATAACTGCTCAATTAATCAGTTATGAAAATCTAATAGTAATACTCACTTTAGAGAGAAGGTCTAAAATAATCTATTATATTTAGGTTAATACTCAAAGTCATTCTTAAGTTTTTACATAAATCATTAATAGTTCTTCATACTTGCAATATTGATGCACTTTTGATTCTTCCCTAACTTTTTGCCTATTTTTTAATATTAATTCTATTCATAATTTTATGTAAGGAATGTTGCATCATCTTGATATATTATGTGAGAGAAGGTGAAAAGAAACATCTTGTCCTATCTAGTATAAATATTGCTGCAACTAAACTTGAAAATTTTAATATATGACATTGCAAGAAAAGAAAAATATGTACTATCCTAAGTGAAATCGTCGTGATGAACCTCTCGACTTTACGTACAATACGATTTCTAATAAACAATCTCACATAGATTTATTATTTTTACTAAATATATAAAATGATGATCAAACATTTCATAAATAAATTATGAATAAAATCAATGTTTAAAAAATAGGCACAATTTTGAATGAGGACTAAAAGTGCACCAATATTACAAACATAAGAGACTATTAATTGATGCTTCGTATGAAAACTCAAGGATGACTTAAAGTCTTAACCCAAAGATTTTTATCATAACATTTTTCATTTATTAAAAAGAGAACGCATTTTTCATTAACTAAAGAGAGATATAGTAAATGGTTAAATAAATTTAGGAAAGTTGTATATAATAGCAAATTAATAACCTAAAATAAATGGAGTAGCTAGGGTTTGATTTAATTGTTCTCCATAGCAAACGTTAGCTAAAGTTTTTCAGACGTCTCTCTCCCAAAAATCTCGCTCGTCACTCTCTATTCTCGCTCGCCTCTCTCGCTTTATACACAGAAGTGTATAAATTTTGTTTCTGTTTTGTATAAAGCGAGAGAAAATTGTATATACACATGCAAAAATATGTATCTTCGTGTTATACACTTAATTATACAATTTACAAATATTTTACTTCAAATATTGCAGAGAAAAAGGCCAACAAATTATACAATTGTGAATTATTCAATTGCAGTGAAATACAATTTTCTCTAACTTTATACAACAGAAGTGTATATATTGTGTTTCTGTTTTTGTATAAAGCGAGAGAAAAACATATACCTTCTTGCTATACACTTATAATTATGCAATATACATACATTTTAATTCGATTCAACTGTATGCAAAGCAAATTTTATAAAAAAAAATTGCAGCGAAATAGGCAGCGAATTATACAATGTGCATTATACAATCGCAGTGAAATAGGATGTCGAATTATACAATTGCAGCGAAATAGGCTATACAATTGTGCAACATACAATCGCAGTGAAATAGGATAGTGAATTATACAATTGCAACGAAATAGGCCAGCAAACTATACAATTTAGCCCAGTGAATTATACAGTTGTATATGTATAGCGAATTATACAGTTTTATGTTTGCTATGGAGCACAATTATGCAAACTTTGCTATTGCATACAAATATGAAATTTTGTTTGCTATATGTTAAAGTTGCCCATAAATTTAATAAGGATATAATACATAATTTTTCTTAAGTACGGACAAATCAAAAATATAAAATTTAGGACATACTAGGTAAAGTGAGGAGAAAAAGCCTAAAATAGTCTCTCACTTTTGGATTAAGACTCAAAGTCATTCATAAGTTTTCATATGAAGCATAAATAGTCCCTTATATTTGCAATATTGGTGCATTTTTTGTCCTCATTCAAAATTGTGCCTATTTTTTAACATTGATTTTAATCATAATTTATGTATGGAATGTTTAATCGTTATTTTATATATTTACTAGAAAAAATTACTCCATGTGAGACATTGTGAGAAGAAAATACCTTATTTTGTTTTGTAGAATCCGTATTGCAGGTAAAGTCGAGAAGTTCATCACGACGATTTCATTTAGAATAGTACAAAGTTTTATTTTCTTGCAATGTCATATGTTAAAATGTTCATAGTTTAGCTGCAATAAAATTTATACTAAGACAAAACAAGGTTTTCTTCTTCTTCTTCTCTCGCATAATGTTTTTTTTTCCTACTAAATATATAAAAATACGATGGCAAATATTTAGGGAGAACCATAAATGCACTAATGTTGCAAATATGAGGGACTATTAGTGCTCCATATGAAAACTTAAGGATGACTTTGAGTCTTAACTCTAAGTCGACGGACTATCTCGTATTTGGATGATGAGTGAAATTTTTTTTAAAAAGTATTTGGTTGGAATAAAAAACATGCACAAAAATATAAGAGTCGAAATTAAAATACTTTTTAGGAAAATAATATATGACCCGAAAAATTAACCCCAATAACCGATTCAATATCCAACCCTTAACACTTGAACCGAGATGGATGCACTATTTGAAATCTGACCCGATACTTGATTTGGGACTTAATCCTGACTCTCAACCTGGACTCATATTCGGACAGGGACTCGACTCTCACCCCGACATCGACACTTGACTCGGGACACAACCCCAATATCTAACGTGGGATCCAACCCGACTGCCTAACTCAGGACTTGACATTCGAACTGTGACCCGACTTTTGAACCAAGAGTTGACCCTAATGGGGGATTCGACTTCAAAAGTAGATATTGACCCTGATATTCGATCGAAACCCGACTTTGGAATCGTGATTAAGTAATAGAGAAAATCTACTGTTAAAATAGTGGAAAAGCTAAAGTAAGGATTTGTTTTTAATACTATCCTTATATTTATTTGAACTTTTTTAAATGTATCGCGTAAAACTTGTTCATTTAGAAAATAGAGTTATATTTACTTGATTCTTTATATGTATTTTATTATTCTCATCAATGCCAAAAACAAAATAATCTAATGGGTTATAATTTAATAATTATTTCTACTTTTTCAATTAACAATATAGCAATTCTGGCAATATTTTGTTAGAAAAGAATAAACATATGTATATAACAGTACAAATGGTTAAATCTCTTCTAATTGATTATAATTTTGAATTTTTTTTCAATAAAATCAATTGTTACATAAACTATCAAAATTATTCTAAAAGTGTTTTAAAACAAAATTAAGAGTTCACTTTATTGAATATGGTACAGTATTTATTTTTTTTTACTTTGTAATACTTTTAGTTAGAAAAATCAATATTTTAGTCATTATTACATTTAGAAGTCATCCAAAGTTAATACAATATTTTTTAAAATTTAATTATTTTTTTAGTTTAATTAGTTTGAGCTGTAAATGTTCAATAAAATATTCAAAGAACTGAAAGTCACTTTACAAAGTCAATATTAAGACATAGTTTAGTCAAATTGAAGTGAATTAGATAAATTAACCAATAAAAAGTAACTGTAAATTTATTGTATACTATTTTTAATTACAATTACATCACCAATAAAATTTCAAAAAAAATAAGCAACAAACTATAAGAATTTTTTAATTAATAGTAACAATGAATGCGGTTCTTCTTGCTTTTGTTTCTTCGTTTAATCTTTGGCTCTTAGTCGGATTCATCTCTTTTTTGTGCAAATGTTTTCATAATTGAATTTGGGTTTTTTTAAGTTCTTTGAAGGCCCTTATTTTTTGGGGCCTAAAGCCACTGCATTAGTGGCTTTAGGGTTGAAACTTAATGGGATGGAGGAAGTAACTCTTCCCGCTTTATTTTATTTTATACTAGTTAAAAAATAATTTTGTTTACTTATTTATTTTAGCAAATCAAGAGGAATCTATTATTGTGCGTTCACTTTTTACTTATTCTGATTACACTTTACATGTTCCTTAAGAAACAATGATTGATATAATAAGAATAATTTAATGTGGTAAGTATATTCCTACATTGTAATTAATTACTTTTTTTTCATAATGACATTTAAAAATGGGATAGAGCAAGTAACTTCCTCCGTTTTATTTTACTTGACCCTAACTAAATATACTTTTATACTTATATTTTTTAGCAAATCAAGGGGAATATACAACTCCCTCACTTTTACTTATTCATATTAAAATATGCATGTTTTTTAAGAAATAATAATTGATATAAGCATCTTATCATAATTCCACGTCATAATAACATCAAAATCAAGCATATTCAACACAATAAAGTCAGTCCGTGTGACACCTCTGGATAGTCACCAAACATGATCTATACTCCATATCCACTACTAAAGACTCACCACACGGGGTAGAAACATGTAGCAACGCTTATAGTCTCAGAAAAACAAACTGATTTGGGAAGCATAATAAACATGTACATAAGAATATCTAGAATCCGAATTAAATAAAACTGAGGCGGACTAATGACATAT